TCGGTACCCAAGTATGACACAACTGTTGATATTTTTTATACCAACGTTAACTATTGGAGTAAATTGAACAAATAAATAAATAAATTTTTTGGCTAATTAGTGATAAAGTTCATACTTATTGGTTATATGTTATTTAGTTCAATTTTCTTTTAGTGACAATAATACGCATTGAAAAGTTGTCAAAATATTGATCGAAAAAGTCATTTGCGATTGGCAACAGCAACTGGTGGCAATGAGGTGGACATGTAAGTGAATAGATAAGTAACATGTGAACAGATAGATGATATTTGAACAACTAAACAAATAAATAAGCCTTTGCAATTTGGGTTTCAGTCATTTTTTAAAATTTTTATTAGTGCGGAGTTTGTAGACTGCTTCTCAGAACCTATAAAATTATTTTGTTTAAATTATGTGAATAAATGTATGTTTTGTGATTAATTATATGTATTGAATATATTCAATTAACTCTCATTGTTATGTATTTTTTAAATCTAAATATAGTTAAATAATGATATGAAAATAAAAAAAAATTATACAAAATTTTTATATATAGTGATGTTGTTCAATGTAAATTATTCACTTTAAAACAAAACGCTCACAAAATTTATTTACCAAAATAGCATTATTTCATCATTTTTAGTGATTTTTTTTGTGTGTGTATAAATTTTATATATGAATAGTATTTTCTAAATATAGTTTGAGACTTCTCATTGACATGAATTTGTTTTCTGCTAATCAGATTTCATGAAATTCAAAGAACATAATTACATCAAAATTGTATTTTTAATACTTGAAAAAAGAATAAATTGACATGAAAACCCCATAAGGAGTAGTTATTTTACATTTTGTCTAATTTTCATTCCACTTGACATGTTCTTAACCGTTTCTCTCTCTTCTTTTTCCTCTTCTTTACGTTATTTTTTGTATAACATTCTTATTCTTATGTAATATTTACCTCATTACATAAAAATGTTATACTAATAGAATTTTCATAGTTATTTTATTTCAAAATGAAGCATTCAGAAATAAAATTTTATGAATAATATTGTATGAATAAATTTTTTATTTATGAATACATTCTCTATGTTTTGATCTCTCTCTCTCTCTCTTCGTGCCTCCACTTTCATTGTAGATAAGTATACAATCAAAAATTTCCTAGTATGTTTGGAACACCACGTTTGTCTATTTACAGTTTGTCCATCATTTTTATTTTTATTTTTAGATTCATATGGATTCATTTAGCCTCTTGTTATTAATTCAATACACTATCAACGTAAAATTTTTAAAAAATAGAATAATTACTCTGAGAAATTCGCATTGTAAATAACATTTTCCAGGATTAAGGGTAAGCCTCAAAACTAGAACGGTACAAATTGTAGCAGAAAAGAAGACAAACGATAAAGCACTTGTTGAATAAATAACAAATTAATTTTTTTTTTTTAAAAAAAAAGAAAGAATAAGAATGAAGAGCTTGGGTTGTGTTTGTGTACAGAGACATCCTATCTATCTACTATCTTTGAAATTCATCTATATTTGCCATCAAAATAACCACGTAAATCTAAACTAGCCAAGATGAGCTCCATCTAACCTAACATGGCCTTGACCATTTCCACCAAATGAAACACAGCCACAGCCATCGAAGCCGGCACGGTGAACCCAACAAGAGCCACCATCCCCACAACCAAGCTCGGCCTAGTCTCCATCAACAATGTCTGCAAAACAGCCATTGCTTCACATATATCCGAATCATACCTTGTTTCAGCATATTTCTTCTCCCATTCCATCCAATAACCACAATCACGTGGCGGTGTCGATGACTCGTAGTAGTCCCTCGTCTCTGCCATTTTCGCCTCGTGAATTCTCTTCCTTAACACAATCATGTTCTCGTCAACTATCCTCCCATTGTGGTCTCTACCATATCCGTATGCATCTTTTTTCGATGCGAAAACTGTCATGGATGCTCTTCTTCTTTGGCTAGAACTCGGTTTCTGTCGTAGAGAATTGCCGGAAAAGGGAGGTAAGGGGAGTTGTAGGGAACAAATGGAAGCTGTTTGCATTGTTTTGGAGAGAGAGAGAGAGAGAGAGAATTAGGGTTGATAATACTAATGATTAATGAGCTGTATGTAGCTTGTGAGGAGGGACATGGAGTTGGCTCTCTCTATATATAGATGGTTTGCATATTGCATGTATGAAAAAGTCTGTCCACATAATTAAACTATCAACAATACTAGCTATACACAATTCATTTATAAAAATATATTAAAAAAATTATTATATAATTCAGATTTATTTTATATGTAGACCCGTAAGACATGAATTAAATTTAGACCGCACAATTAGTTTTAGGTATTTTTATGAGCACATATCTTTTTTTTAAAATTATTAGAAAATACAGAAGAGAGAACTTCGTCTGACCCATAATTAAAATTCGGAAGCATTGTTTGGGTGCGTGAGGCTAAATTGTTCATTTTGATCGACACTTTGTATATTTCATTCAAAAAAAATTAGGTCGATCCGATAATTCTAATTACTCAATTTATTACGCTTGTCACAAAAAAAAAAATGAAAGACAATTGTGTTTTAAAAATTAAATCATTCATTTTCTTGGTAACAAACGTGATAAATTAAATCGATTACAATTATTAAATAGACTTAATTTTTTATATGAATAAAATAAATAAAATACCCAATAAAATAAATTATTTAAATTATGGAAACGAATCCAAACAACAACCTCCAACCTAAATTATGAACTAGAGGAAATCTGTCTCAGAGAACATACTATATGTCAACATCATAAAATCTATATTTTAAATCAAAATACTAACGAAAATCAACGAATGACAGATACTTCTGATTAACTTCGTCATGATGTATGTGTATGTTCTTAATAATTTTATGTAATTAAAATATATTATAATATGATTTAGGGGAATATTGACATGTGATAAAAAAAAATAAACTTTTGCGGCACAAATAATTAGCTGTACATGACGAAGTCTGCATACGGACTCAAATGATAGAAATGAATATATTAGCAAAAACTCTTCAAGATGATCACAATCCCTTTTGTGAATAATTTCTTTGAATAAGTATTTCATATTGTTTTATATTAATTCTTTCATGCTAGTGTATTCATAAAAATAATTTATATTTATAACAATATTTATATTATATCATTTTTATATGTATTTTATGAACACATAATTTTTTTTTATTTTTTCCTACTACAAAGTAGAGCATTACATACATGAATTGGTGGTGGGAGATAGAAACCGAGTAAGAATTTGACACGTGCTGGTTTGGCGCGTTTTTCTGTAGTACGAGGGGGAGTTGCAAAGAAGTTGCACTCCAGCTACTAGGAAGCTGACGCGTGGAAGGTGTGAATTTCATACAAGAAACTTCCCATCTATCTGCATTGGCCGGCTCTAAAAGTAAGGCAGCAAGCACTTCACAACATCTATACAGATTAATGCTTGGGAGCACTAAAAAAGGAGTACTAGGAGAGCATTAATGAGGTGGCTCTCCTTTTGATGTGATGGTTGTTTCTTGTGTTTTTTTTTTTCTTTTATTTTTTATATTTTCTAACTCATTAGAGCTATTAGTGATGAGATTTTTAGTGATCTCTATGTATAAAAAGTGTATTGTTTAATTTTTTGTTATTTTATTTTATTTTTTTCAGTCATGTCATTTTAGTGGGTTTTATTTTTTAAAAAATACTTTTCAAGAAATTTTATTTTCATATTTTATGATTATTTTTCTATTTTTTATACATCTTTGTATAAAAAAATTAAAATATATTTATTTAGATTATTTCAAATACCCTGTAAATAATATATTTTAAAAAATATACTTATTATGATTTCGTTTGGAAAGAATTTTTTTAGCTTGACTTTTTAATTTTTTTTAACTATTTTAGTCTAGTTACAAAAGTTTAGTTTGAAATAAACTTTTGAATTTTTTTATAATATTATCAAAGAAAAAATGAAATAATTATAATTTGAATATAAAATTTTGTCTTATTAATTTTTTAACTTATTTTATCTTTTAATAAGTTCAATTAGTCTCAACTATATTACCAAATGAGAGCTATATATTTGTTAGGTGACAAATATGATAAGATTAGAATTTTAAAAATTATTGGAATGACTTAATTTTTGGCATTGATAATGTATACATAGTTCAAATGATTGAAACAAGATCATAGTTAGTTTCATAAGTCGGAATAAATTTAGATTTAAATTTAAGAAAAGCGAAACTTAGGGTTCGTTTGGGATGTGAATTGACTTTTTAGCTTCTTGACTATTTTAGCCTAGGGCTAAAAAGTCTTATTTGGGATATATTTTTTGGCTTTTTTGACTTTTATAAGGGAAAAAAATGAAATGATTATAGTTTGGATGTGACATTTTGTCTGGCCTCGTTTAGGAACATGCTATTTTTGTAACTTTTTAATTTTTTGGCTAAAATATGAGGTAAAAAAAAATTAGTATGTTTAAAATAATTTTTTAATTTTTTACGAAAATATGTGTAAAAAATATAAAGAAAATGGAATCTTTGATTTTTTAATAAAGTTATAGACTTTTTGATTTTTTTAATAACTTTTTGACTTTTAAAACAGGCACATGCCAAACGAGGCCTTATTAGGTTAAAAAGTCTATTTTATCTTTTTGTGACTATTTTAATTAAAAATTTTCATTTTAACTTATGGGAAACGTAACCTTAAAAAAATTTATTTAAAAAACTAAATTAATGGACAATGTTCATTCGGGTTGTAATTTATATTACATTAATTTTAAACTCACACCATACATTTTATTTTTAGAATAATTTACAAGGTATAATTATGGATGCAAAGCATTTTTCATTATTTAATTTAATATTTCCAAAAGGATTTTAATGATTTTTCAATAAAAAGTTGATTATTGAAAAGTTCAAGGTAAGGAGGGCATAAGGTATTAGGTTTGAAAAATGTTATGGATCTCAAATAAATTATTAAATTTTTTATCAAACCTGGGACTCTCACAAATCACTTGTGTGTGAGTCTCACACCCATGTGGGAGGTTTGGTAAAAAATTTAATAATTTATTTGAAATCCCTAACATAACTCATTAGGCTTTGTTTGATATCAAGGTTGACTTTTTGATTTTTTAGTTATTTTAACTTGAAACTAAAAAAAATCGTTTTGGATGGATTTTTTTGACTTTTTTGAGTTTATGAAATAATTATGATTTGAATGTCACATTTTATTTTATTGACATTTTAACGTATTTTGTCTTTTTAACGCTAAAATAGCAAAAAGAAAAAACACCTCTCAAACCCACATAGGGGTGTTCACAGATCGGTTCCGTGCGGTTCGGATGGCGAGTTGGACTCGCCCGATGGGGTGCGGGTTGGGAAAATGGAATCGTGTCCGCCCGCAGTGCAGGTTGCGGATCGAATGGGTGGGTCATGTGGTTATGCAGGTGATTGCGGACGGTTTGTGAATTAAATTTTCTTTTTTGAAATTTTATTTTTGTGCTTCAAACAGCAGTTGGAGGTTTTGTATGGGACACAAATTAGACTTTCTTATTATTATTCAACCTATTCTTATTTGTGTATTTATAAATAATTTTATTATAATTTTATTTACAACAATCAACAATGAAAACATTTTCTTTTATTAAATAAAAGAAGCAAAATGTTACAAATACAAACCTACAACAAATTTGCAAACCACAACACAACACAATCAAAACCATTTTCTTTTATTAAATAAACAAAGTAAAGTTACAAACCCACGACACAATACAACCAAAAGTAAAAAGTCTGCAACCCATAACAACGAGCAAAGCAAACCATATAAATGGATGAGGATTTTAGATCTGGTACCTTCGTCACTTCATGCAATGAATTTTTTTTTTTTTTTTTGGCAATAGATCTTCCAGATCTGGCTAGAAGAGGAGAGGATGGAGAGACCACGGCGATGGAGAGATGACAACGATGGAGTACGGTTGATCTGCAGGAGACGACGGAGAGGAGATGAAACGATGGGCAAGGGGCGAGAGATGGTGGTGGTGACGGCAATGGGGAGGAGGGAAGAGAGAGGTAGAAGAGAGAGAGAGAGAGAGAGAGAGAGAAGCCTAGATGAGAGAAAGAGAGAGAAGCAGCTAGGTAGAGAGAGAAGGGAGACCAAAAAATGAATTCAACATGCGAAAGTTTTCTTTTTTTAATTTTAAACAAAATCTGCAGGCGGGTTGCGGATTTGCACGGGTAGTGTCGGGTCTGACCCGAACCCGATTTTGTATGAAAAAATAGAACCGCACCTGCCCTATTTATGCATGCAGGTAGGGTCGGATTTGTGCGGGTAGGGTCGGATTTGGGCGGGTTGTGCAGGTCGGATAAACCGTTGTCCACCCAGACCACATATCAAACGAAAACTAGGTTTAGTGGATATTTTTTATTGGTGAGAGATTTATTTTTTGTGAAATAGTTTAGTGAAAAATCATTTTGTTTCTAATTTTGCCCATTAATTTATTTGTTAGCTTTTTTTATTTGTTGACTTTCGTTGACTATTTATTCAAAAAATTTCCCTATCTATTTAAATTTTTCCTATCCATTTAATTTTTTTTCCATCTGTTTAATTTTTTTACCTTATCTGTTTAATTTTTTTATCTTTTCAATTCAAATTTCCTTTCTATGTTTAAATATTTGCCTAAATAAAATTCTATCTGTCCAAATTTATTATCTACTCAAATTCTATACGTTTAATTTTTTATCTTTATTTGTTCATCACCAACAACAATCACCAACGTCAACAAAAACAACAACAACAATCGTCCAAAAAAAAAAATTCAATCTGTTCAACAAAAAAGAAATTGATCTGTTGAATTCAACAGATCTGGATCAGAAACCCATGAAAAATGGGGAGGAACAAGACCTGAGCTTTTTGAACAGATTTAAGCCTTTTTGAATAGATTTGTTCAATCTTCATATGAAAACCAAAAGCATAATCATAATCAAAATGAAAACCAAAACCAAAACCAAAATCATAATCATAATGCAGATCTAGTGTGTGTGTGTGTGTGTTTGAGATCACAAATCAGTGGGTATGTGTTTGAGATCACCATTGCACTATGT